TCAGATACTCAATTTCCAGAGACCTGGGAACAAGACCAAGGGGGAACAAAGGGTACAGTTGAGCGCAATTGTGGGATAGTTTGAGTATTCTTTGGCATTTTCTTCTTTCGGACTGGAATGAAAACTGAATGTTTCCAATATTGTGGCCACTGCTGAGTTTTCCAAATTTGCTGGCATATTGAGTGCAGCACTTTCACAGCATCATCTTTTAGGATTTGAAATAGCTCGGCTGAAATTCCATCACCTCTACTAGCTTTGTTCATAGTAATGCTTCCTAAGGCCCACTTGACTTCACACTCCAGGATGTCTGGCTCTAGATGAGTGATCACACCATTGTGGTTTCCAAGTCATTAACACCTTTTCTGTACAGTTCCTCTGTGTATTCTTGCCACCTATTCTTAGTATCTTCTGCTTCTATTAGGTCCATACCATTTCTGTCCTTTATCACACCCATTTTTGAAAGAAATATTCTCTTGGTATCTCCAATTTACCTGAAGAGATCGTTAGTCTTATCCATTCTATTGTTTTCCTCTATTTCTTTGCATTGCTCACTTAAGACGGCTTTCTTGTATCTCCCTGCTGTTCTTTGGAACTCTGCATTCAGATGGGTATATCTTTCCTTTTATCCTTTGCCTTTTGCTTCTCTTTTCTCAGCTATTTGTAAAGACTTCTCAGACAACCATTTTGCCTTGCTGTGTTTCTTTTTCTTGGGGACGGTTTTGGTCACTGCCTCCTGTACACTGTTATGAACCTTTGTCCATAGTTGTTCAGGCACTCTATCAGATCTAATCCCTTGACTCTATTTGCCACTTCCACTGTATAATAATAAGGGTTTGATTTAGGTCATACCTGAATGGCCTAGTGGTTTTTCTTACCTTCTTTAAGTTTGAATTTGGCAATAAGGAGTTCATAATCTGAGCCCAAAGAAGGGCAATGCCAAATGTTCAACTGTTCAAACTGCAGCACGACTGCACTCATTTCACACACTAGCAAGGTAATGCTCAAAATCCTTCAAAGCTAGGCTTCAACAATACATGAACAGAGAACTTCCACATATACAAGCAGGATTTAGAAAAGGCAGAAGAACCAGAGACCAAACTGCCAATATTCGTTGGATCACAGAAAAAGCAAGGGAATTTCAGAAAAACATCTACTTCTGTTTCATAGACTATGCTAATGCTTTTGAATGTGTGGATCACAACAAACTGCGGAAAAAAATCTTAAAGAGATGGGAATACCAGACTACCTTACCTGTTTCCTGAGAAACCTGTATACAGATCAAGAAGCAACAGTTAGAACCGGACATGGAACAATGAACTGATCCAAAACTGGGAAAGGAGTACGTCAAGGTTGTATATTACCACCCTATTTATTTAACTTATATGCAGAGTACATCATGCAAAGTGACGGGCTGGATGAAGCTCAAGCCAAAATCAAGACTGCTGGGAGAAATATCATCACCCTTAAGGCAGAAAGCAAAGAGGGACTAAAGAGCCACTTGATGAAGGTGAAAGAGGAGAGTGAAAAAGCTGGTTTAAAACTCAGCATTCGAAAACTAAGATAATGGCATCTGGTCCCATCACTTCATGACAAATAGATGGAGAAACAATAAAAACAGGGACAAACTTTCTTTACTTGGGCTTCAAAATCACTGCAAATGGTGACTGCAGCCATGAAATTAAAAGATGCTCCTCCTTGGAAGAAAGGCTATGACCAACCTACAAAGTATATTAAAAAGCAGAGAAATCATTTTGCTGATAAAGGTCCACAAACTTATGGTTTTTCCAGAAATCATGTGTGGATGTGATAGTTGGACCATAAAGAAGGCTGAGCACTGAATAATTGATGCTTTTGAACTATGGTGTTGGAGAAGAGTCTTGAGAGTCCCTTGGACAGCAAGGCGATCAAGCCAGTCAATCCTAAAGGAAATCAACCCAGAATATTCATTGGAAGGAAGCCAAAGAAGCTCTAATACTTTGGCCACCTGATGCAAAGAGCTGACTCATTGGAAAAGACCCTGATGCTGGGAAAGATTGAAGGAAGGAGGAGAAGGGGACGACAGAGGATGAGATGGTTGTATGGCACCACCGACCCAATGGACATGAGTTTGAGCAAGCTCTGGGAGATGGTGAAGGACAGGGCAGCCTGGCGTGCTGCAGTCCATGGGGTCGCAAAGAGTCAGACATGACTGAGTGACTGAACAACATCACTTCACATTGGTCAGAATGGCCATCATCAAAAAAATCTGCAAAGAATATATGCTGGAGAGGATGTGGAGAAAAGGATACAATCCTACACTGCTGGTGGGAATGTGAATTAATATAGGCACTAAGGAGAATGGTATGGAGATTCCTTAAAGAACTAGGAAAAAACTACCATATGACCCAGTAATCCTACTTCTGGGCATATACCCTGAGAAAACCCTAATTCAAAAGGACACATGTACACCAATGTTCACTGCAGCACTATTTACAACAGACAGGACATGAAAGAAACCTAGATATCCATCGACAGATGAGTAGATAAAGAAGGTGTAGTACATATATACAACAGAGTATTATTCAATCATCAAAATGAACACATTTGAATCAGTTAAAAGCGAGGAGGATGAATCTAGACCCTGTGAAGTAAGTCAGAAAAACAAACATCATATATTACAGCAGAAACTAACACAACATTGTAAAGCAATTATCCTCCAATTAAAAATAAATTAAAAAAATAAAGAAACACACAGGAATGATCATCGCAGTAGCAGTATTGTTCCAAATAACGAAAAAAACAATTATTCTTTCAAGATTCGTTTGCATGACTAATATGTGGTATTATCATACAATGTAGCAACTCACACCAATGGAAATGAACAAACAACCACTACCTATAGCTGTTTAGGGGCTTTCCTGGTAGGTAGTTGGCAAAGAATCCGCCTGCAATGCAGGAGACCCTAGTTCGATTCCTGGGTCAGGAAGATCCGCTGGAGAAGGGATAGGCTACCCACTCCAGTATTCTTGGGCTTCCCTTGTAGCTCAGCTGGTAAAGAACCTGCCTGCAATGTGGGAGACCTAGGTTTGATCCCTGGGTTGGGAAGATCCCCCGAAGAAGGGAAAGGCTACCCACTCCAGTATTCTGGCCTGGAGAATTCCATGGACTGTATAGCCCATGGGGTTGCAAAGAGTTGGACAGAACTGAGCAACTTTCACTTTTCATAGCTGTTTAGATGATTTCACAAAAGGAAATAAGTTAGCAAAAGAGCCAGAAAAGAACACATAACGTGTGATAAGAGAGAACACATAACATGTGAGAGCATTTATATAAAGCTCAAAAGCAGGCAAAACTAAAACAAAATGTTAGAAAGATGACGGGATCACTTTACATCCAGAAGGAGGGAAGAGCACTGAGTACCAGGACACACAAGAGGGCTTCAATCACAGTGGCAACATTCTGCTTCTGAATCTGGGAGGTGATACCTAGGTGAGTGTTTTCTAGTAACTTCCTGGGCAGTATGCTAAGAGAAGTCAGTCAGACAGAGGAAGACAGATACTGTATGACACCACTTATATGCAAAACGCAAAAACACAACAAACTAGTGAATGTAACATCAAAGAAGCAGACTCCCAGATACAGAGGAAAAACCAGTGGTTTGCCAGCGGGGAGAGGAGCGGGGCGGTACAGAGGAGGGGGATGAGAGGTGCAAATATGGGTGTGACCAGGCTCAGGGGTGCTATACAACACCGAGAATACAGCCAAGATTTCGTAGTAACTGTAAATGGAAAGCAAGCCTTAAAATTGTGTAAGACAATTTTTAATTAAAAATAGATTTTGATAAAAAGAAAATGAGGCCTATCCAAACAATGGACTATTGAACTATAAGAATTTTTAGGAATGAAGAACTGATACTTACTACCATGTAGATGAACCTTGAAAATACTACCCTAAATGAAAGAAGCTAGTCACAAATGACCACATACATCGTGTATGAATCTATTTAAATATTCAGAACAGACAGACTCACAGAGACAAGAAATAGGTTCATGGTTGCCAAAGGGCTCCAGAGAAATTACTATCGGGCGTGGAGTTTCTTTCTGGGATGATTAAAACATCTTGGAATAGAAAACAGTGAAGGTTGTACCATCTGTGACTACACTAAAACTGAACTGAACCGTACACTTTAAAACGGTGAATTGATTGGCATGTGAATTATATCTCAATTTTTAAAATTACAATTTCTTTTAGATTCAGACCTTTTACATTTAGATTTCTTTTAGCTAAGAAATTAGAACACTTTATCAGGTCATTGTAACAGATGTTCTGATAATGATTACTTTTCATCATGCCAAAAGTACAGTATTTTCTTTTATTAACAAAAATTAGACTCAAAATACTAGATACCAAATAAAAAGTACGTGAGAAGGTTTATGTTGTCAAAATTCCCTTGAAACTTACTCCTACAAAAAATATCTGATCACTGCTGTTCTAGATGTGGAACCAGCACTTTCTATACCATTTCTGGCCCCTGGAGCGGCCAGTGACAACAGAGAGCAGGCCCCCCTGGACGGGTCACACCCCCCTCCCTGGTCCGCCAGGTGGCAGCCCTGTCCCCCGAACACTCCTGGACCCACAGGCGAAGCTCTCCCGCAGCATCCTCTGGCTTCTGGTGTCCAAGAGAAGAAAAAATATCCCTCTGCTCCTCCCTAAGCTAAAGCCCTTTCCGTGTGACTACTGGAGGTAAAAAGTGAGAAATGTTAGTCTACATCCCTCTTGTTACAAAGCCCTGTAACAGGAACCCTAACCTGGCCGGCTGGCTGACCAGCGTTACCAGCAGAGCCCCACTTTTTCTTAGTTTCAGGGTACCTAGAAGTGAGAAAAATTAATTCAAATTATCAAATACTCCCCAGAACACTAGTCATGTGGGGACCACCTTGCTTTTGTATATAAAGGCATTTCTACATTTTTATTAGTAACTAGCCTAAATGCTGTTGCTCGAAGTACTTTAAAGTTTTCAGAATATAGATTGAAAACACTAACCAAAGGTTTCATAGGAGTCTTCATCTTTCTCATTTTCGCCCAGCCTGCTGAGGCTTGAGAACTGAGAATCATCAGGAAAATCAAAGACATCCAGAGGCTTGTGCATCTGGCCCGCTTTCTGAAAGTGAACAAAGTTCAAAGTCACTGAACTGGCCATACCGAACAAGAACATCAATAAGCCAACCTACGTGGCAAGGACACTGCTGCTCCCGCCAGTGCCCAAGGAGCGAGCCCTCGCACTCCCTTGGGGGCAGAGTCTCTTCTGGTGATCTAAGGCGGGGTGGCGGAACTTTTCTAGAAAGGACCAGGGGGTAAATACAGTTGGCCACTGAGCAACACGGGTTGGGGCGCCCAGCCTCCGCACGGTGGAAAATCCTCGTACGACCCTGGCAGCTGGCCTCGTCAGAGGTTCCATATGCGGGGGTTTCAACCAACTGTGAATAGTGTAGAACCTACTACTGAGAACAATCCGGGTAGAGTGAACCCTGCCAGCTCAAACCTGTGTTGTTCGAGGGGCCCTTGTACCCAAGACCGCGGACCGTGAGGCTCTGCGGCCGCTCAGCTCAGCCATTGCGGTGTGGAAGCAGACAGGGCGGTGCAGAAAGAGCGGCACAGTTGGGCTGCAATACAGCCTCATGGAGCCTGAAATCTGAGCTCCATGCTTTCACATGCCATGAGATAGTCTTCTTTGATTTTACTTCAGTCATTTAAAAATATAAAAACCATCCTTAGCTCACAGGGCCACAGGTCACAGCCAGCCACTCCTGAACCACCAGGGGGTTGCTCTCCAGAAACAGCCACTTACCCCAAAGCTCCCGAAAGCTTTTAGGTCCGTGAACCAAGGTAAAGTGGAAGTGGTCAAACAGGAGATGTGAACAACCACATTTTAGGAATCAATGAACTAAAATGGACTGGAATGGGTGAATTTAATTCAGATGACCATTATATCTACTATTGTGGGCAAGAATCCCTTAGAAGAAACGGAGTAGTCAACAAAAGTCAACAACATCATAGTCAACAAGAGAGTCTGAAATGCAGTACTTGGGTGCAATCTCAAAAACGACAGAATGATCTCTGTTCATTTCCAAGGCAAACCATTCAATATCACAGTAATCCAAGCCTATGCCCCGAACAGTAATGCTGAAGATGAAGTTAAATGCTTCTGTGAAGACCTACGAGGCCTTCTAGAACTAACACTAAAAAAAAAAAAAAAAGGTCCTTTTCATCACAGGGGACTGGAATGCAAAAGTAGGAAGAGATACCTCGAGTAACAGGCAAGTTTTGCCATGGAGTACAGAATGAAGTGGGGCAAAGGCTAACAGAGTTTTGCCCACGCTAGTCATAGCAAACACCTCTTCCAATAACACAAGAAATGACTCTACACATGGACATCACCAGATACTGAAATCAGATTGATTGAACTCCTTATCACAAAATTCAGACTTAAATTGAAGAAAGTGGGGAAAACTACTAGACATTCAGGTATGACCTAAATCAAATCCCTTATGATTATACAGCGGAAGTGACAAATAGATTCAAGGGAATTAGATCTGATAAAAGTGCCTGAAGAACTATGGATGGAGGTTTGAGACACTGTACAGGAGTCGGTGATCAAGAGCATCCCCAGGAAAAAGAAAGGCAAAAAAGCAAAATGGTTGTCTTAGGAGGCCTTACAAATAGTGAGGAGAGAAGAGAAGCTAAAGGCAAAGGAGAAAAGGAAAGATATACCCATCTGAGTGCAGAGTTCCAAAGAACAGCAAGGAGAGATTAAGAAAGTCTTCCTCAGTTTTGAGGATACACAGGGGTAAAAAGTCCTAAGTGCAGGAAAGAGATTGGGCTTACAGGGCAATATACTAATAAGCTCCATGAAGACTGCCCCTCACATCCTCATGAAAGACCACAACACACAGAAAATTAGAAAAAAACATTCAGTAGCTCTGGACAATGTGAAGGGAGCCATTAACAGACAAGAAAATGTGAGGAAATTCTGGAGAAGAAATACAGAAGACGGAATAAGACAGAGAGAAACACAGACTCGCACTCACAGACCCTCAGTGAGAAACCACTCGAGGGGTGTGTGGGGCGAGAAGGGGCGCTGACGGGTCCTCTGGCCTCCCTGAGCAGAGGGGCCCCCAGCCCTGGATGGCAGCTGCCTTCCTGGGAAAAGGACAGGAAGCTGGAGAAAGCCATCCAGAGAATGAGCGGGCTGCGGTGGGGGCGCAGAGGGATCCCAGGGCTTTCCAGGGGAGAAGAGGGCCCCCTCCAAAGCCAGGGGCCCAGGGGAGCAGCGGGAGACACCCTCCAAGAGAGAGAACCAGGGGCGGGGCACAGAGCAGGGAGAACCCCCAAGCAGACACTGCCTGAGATGTTTCATGTGAATCTCTAAGGCCAGCTCGACAAGTCGCTGGAAAATAATATGAAGTGAGCTGGGAGTATTAAAGAAATGCACCTGCCTTCACATACATTTATTTCTAAGACTCACCACACCCTAAAATAAAAATACCATGTGAGTAAAACTATATGGAATATGATGAGATCATAATTGTGGAAAAATGTAACAACATGGAGAAATGGCCACAAGTGAAAAAAGCAAAATACAGAACACTATACAATTTTTAAACAATGTCAATTATCAAAATGAAAATGAAACCAACCTAAGCCTAGAAAGAGATTCAAAATGTTAATGCTTTCTCCCTTGTACTGGAAAGAACAGGAGGAAAATGAATATACTTTTCCACTACAAGAAAACAGAGCTTACTAAGTCTACGGAATACTGAGTCTCCCACAAAATGTTATTTTGCATTTTCAATTACGAGCATATTAAAATATATAACGATAACTTACATCTTTCATGGAATGTGTTCTTCCTGCATGGTTCTTCGAAAATCTCGCACTAGGAAACAGCAAACACACACATGAGTTAGGAAATACTTAAAAATAACTGAGGAAACACTGGAACTGGCAATGCAGTCCAAGTATTTTATTTCCAAGTTACTCTCCTTGTTAGCTGCACTAACAATGTGCAGGTGATGAAATTCAGCTAATGGCAAATCTCTTAGAAAGCAGAAACCATATTTCACACACATAAATAATTTATAGGCCAAATCATACTACCCACATATAATTAGCATAGCTCTGCCCTCAGGACACAGAGAACTCCTAAGCCTGCAGTCACCCGTGTCTCTGAAGTTCCATCAACAGCCAAGGCTGGCGTCCTGCAGAAATGTGCTAGAGAGGTGCCTCTTCCTTAAGACCTGGACCCCGCTGCATCCCGTGCCTGGCTCTCTCACACACGTGTTCTCATTTAGCTCCTTAACAGTCCTCCAGGTAGAAGTGAATCCCTCCACCCAGAAGCGTATTTGCCCAAAGCTACAGGTGGCTGGGAAGGAGGGAAGCCTGTGATAAAATCTGCTATCAGTCCACACCCAGAGCTGCCCTCTTCCCTCCCCTTCAAGATCCCTCCAGAGGGCATCAGGATGAAAGGATAAAGTTGCATCTTTAATCAGCTTACGTAAACCAGATGTCACAACAGAGAGCTGAACAAAAAGTGAAAATAAGAGACACAGCAAACACTCCGCCAGTGACTGTGTACTCCAGCGTGGCGCCGAACAGGACACCCTGCACAGACCCCCACTTTCAAATGCACCCTGCACACACCCGTTAGCAGAGGGCAAAGTCCATTTAGCGTCTGAATGAGTAATTTTTTACCTATCTCTTTATGTGATATAACTTCAAACTTCAGAGAAAAATTGTGAGAAGAGTCTGAGAACCTTCTGTACACCCTTTACCCCACTTCACCAACTGTTCACATTTTGTCTCACTGGCTTCCTGTGTCTGTGGATGGTAATCTGGGGATACAGGTGTGTCTTTTCTAAGAGGGCATTATTCTGTGTAGTCACAACACAATTTCCAAAGCAAGAAATTTAACACTGACATAATTGTTTAATTTACAGTCCCTATCCAAATGTTACCAATTGCCCTGTCATGTCCTTTAAGGTTTCCCCCAGCATTTTTCTACCCCCCCCCCAGCATTTTTAAAAATTTCTTTTGCTGTTGTTTCCTTAAAATTTTTTTTTCTTGTTCTAGCATTTTTTAAAAGGAAATACAAGAGGATGTAATATTACGACTTCTTAAAACTTGTGTTGCATCATATGTACACATTTGTGTACCCATTGTGATGTAAAACATTATTACTGTGAATTACAGTGAAAAGATAAAGTTGCAAAACTGAAGAGTGGTTCCCAAACATCAGGAATCAGAATCACCTGGAAGGCTATTAAGACTGCTTGGCTCCAACTCCAGAGTGGCTGATTCAATAAACCTGGGATGGCCCCTGAGAGAACCTGCATTGCTAACAAGCTCCCAGGGCTGCTGATGCTGGTCAAGACACCACAATTTGAAAAACCAATCCTTTATTTGATTCTCAGACCCAAAAAAGATGATGGAGCAGATATTCGTTTTATAGCCTCTATGATTCTGGGGTTCAGAAAAGTTAACTGACATCACTGGTCACACAGCCAAGTAACAGGACTAGAAGCCAGATCATATAAGGTCTTAACCCACTCTTTCCTGCCTTGTCTGTGCTCAACAATGTGGTCAAGTTTCCTCCTCACCTTAGGCTAGGAGGGAGGTGAGGCTACCAAAAGATAGAAACCTCTGTGATAACACATGGAAAAGATTTTGGTGTAGGCATACTGGTGCGTTTCAGGGGGAGGGATGGACAAATTTCCTGAGTCTCAATCAAAGGCAAAAATGCTATATGTGTGTGTACCGCAGGTGGGGAGGGGAAGGGGAGGGAGAGAGAAACCCCCTAATGGAGTAGCTGATAAAGTTCACCTCTCATAGATCAGTTGGTCAAGAATCTGCCTGCAATGCAGGAGATCCGGGTTCGATTCCTGGGTTGGGAAGATCCCCTGGAGGAGGAAATATCAACCCACTCCAGTATTCTTGTCTGTAGAATCCCATGGACAGAGGAGGCTACAGTCCATGGAGTTTCAAGAGTCAGACATGACTTAGCGACCAAACCACCAACACCACGTGTCAGCTGAGTGTCAAGCATCTTATTCTTTCCCAATCCTCCTCTCTACTAGGGGAGTCTGGTCCTACCCGCTGGCCACAGGAGCCTAGTCTGTTTACCCCACCACCCTGCTCTGTACTGCTCCAGCGTGTCCCCTGCACTGTTTGGCTCTCCTGCACCCTCACGCTGCATCTTACAAACTGCCCCTTCTCCAGAGCCCTCCCACCGCCCAGGTGGGACTCCTCCGGCCTTAAGAACCAGCCAAGGCCCCAAGCCAGGCCCAGGCAGGGCCTTGGATGTGCTTCAAACACCTCCAGAGACGCTTTCCAATGAATCCGAGAAAAATAACGTTTTAGAGAGCAGACAGGCAACGTATTTTAACCTGCATGTCCTTTCAGCTTAAAAAAAAAAGTTTGAACTATCCTGGCTGGAGTCCACCCCTTTAAAAATAACAAGCGGCAGCTTGGGTTCCCCCCGCCGACTTATTTCAGTTTTACAGTGTGTGGTTTGTGTTACAAAAACAAGCAGGGGCTCGAAAATAAGAATACTGACTCCAGTTCGAGTGTCAATGCTAGTATTCTTGCTAGAAGGTGAATTCTGCCAAGTAGTAGGTACTCCTTAAGTTACTATTCGTGGGACAGTTTGTTTCAGAACACCTGGCGTCTACTTTAGAGCACGTTTACCCGCACAAAGTAAGGGGACGCTAGCCGACGCCTCTCCCCGCAGCCAGACACGGATGTAAGCGGACGCCTTTCAACCTCCCCGCAATCCTGTCACGGTGGGGACATTTATTATCCCCACTTTACAGAAAGGCCCCGGGCGGCCAGTCGCTCGGACACGGTGCGCAGAGGCAGAGCCACGAAACGAGCAGCTCCGAGAGGCCCAAGCCCAGAGGAAGAGGAAAACAAAGGGGGGACCCCGGCGGCTCTCCCGACGGCCCTCAGAACTTACTGCGACAGCCGCGCAGGCCGGTGACGATCCATTCCAGCCCGCTGCGCCTGCCGCCAACGCAAAAACTCCCGCCAAGCCTCGCGCTACTCCCCGGCGGCCAATCCGGGACGAGAATGCAGGCACGCCGCGCCCGCCCCGGCGGCTCTCCCGACGGCCCTCAGAACTTACTACAGGGCTCCTCCCCATCCTAAAGCGCTAGAGAAAACGCAGCCTGGAATATGCGAGAACAGAGCTGGAGTCCACGCCTTACAACCAGTTGCTGACGGTCCCCGCCCCTCCGAGACGCTAAATCCTTACCTGGTTTTCCTGCCTATCCGTCCGTCGCGCAAGATTTCCGCCAGGGCCCGCCCCCAGGTTGGGGAAGGGAGGAGCCAGTGCCGGAAAGCTACCTAAGAGCGAGCGCGCCGCCGAGGGGCGGATCCGAACCCGGGGTCCGCGCGCAGGGTGCTTAGGCGCCTGCGCAGTTATCTGGTGTGGTGCACTGAAAATAGACAGGGTTAGACTTTCAGTCACTGGTACTGAATCAGATGTGTGAGCTTGGCTTATCATTTTATTTCTACCCCAGTGTTTTCATTCGTAAAAGGGGAGGGACCCCTTCTAATATGCTCTAATTCTCTGCTTTCTCTTTAAAAACGTACAATCCTGCAAAAGAATGATGTTGGACCCTTTATCATACCATAAATAAAAATGAACTTAAAATGGATCAAAGACCTAACTGTAAGAGCTGAAATTCGTAGAAGAAAACACAGGGTAAAGGCTTCATGATACTGGATCTGGCCATAATTTATTGGATGTGACGCCAAAAGCACAGTTTGGGATGATGAAAAAGTTCTGGAAATGGATAATAGTGGATGGCAGCATAACAGTGTGAATCACTTAAGTAGTGCCACTATACTGTACAGTTAAAAATGGTTAAAATGCTAAGCTTTATGTCACGTACATTTAACCACAATAGAAAATTATGTTTCATGCACACACAAGAATATAGCACATATAATATAAAAATAAAAATGACCACCTGGGAGTTCCTTGGTGTCTTACTGGTTAGAACTCAGCACTTTCAATGCAGAGGTCCAGGTTCCATCCCTGGTTGAAGAACCATCCAGCATGCCTCACAGTACAGCCAAAATACTAAACTAAATAAATAAATACAAATTAAGAATGAAATAAAATGGTTGGAACTTTTAAAAGCTTTAACAACAACAAAAAAGAGCACCCATGTGCTCATCAGTGGATTAGGAAATTAATAACAGTCATTCCTTCCAAGGATAACCACTCTTCTGATTTTGTGTTTCTCATTTCCATGTTTTTTCTACCTTGATATATATCCCTAAATGATGTATTAATTATTGTATGTCTTAAACTTTATATAAATGATATTTAGTAAGTATTTTGGAAGTGCTCTTTCTTACTCAAAGCAGTGATTTTGGGGTTTATCCACATTGATGCAGGCAGCTGTCATTCATTCATTTTCATTGTCTTTAGAATGTATTAAGTAAATATACCACGTTGTACTAATCCATTCTCCCGGATATGGAAACATCAGTTGTTTTCAGTCTTTTTGCTGTTGCCAACAATGCCACACTAAACATTCCTGCAAGACACTTATTCCAAACCTAAGTGTCTTGCAGTCACACACCTAAGAGACAAGGATAGATTCAGTAGTAGTATTATTGCCTCATGGGATAAAGACATTTTCAGCTTTACATAAGAATGCCAATTTTTACACAGTTTTGTTGACTATATAATTTACACCCCCATCAGCAATATATAAAAGTGCCCTTGACGCCACATACTTGTCAGTATTTAGAATTTTCAGGATTTAAACATTTTTCCTTGACTAGCAAGTTGAAATGGTATCCTACTGTGTTCTTGATTTGTATTTCCCTTAAGTTGGTCTCTTTTCTTTGTTTACAGGTCCTTCCTGATTCCTCTTCAGTGAAACACCTGTTCACCCCACTTAGGAATCGTTTGGGCAATTGCCACAGAAGAATAAATCATCTTTGTGGTTTTGAAGGTAGTTCCCCGCTGATGCATAGAAATAGGGTTCCTGGAATCACTGGAAGCTGTTAACCCATAAGAGTGTGGAAAGCTAGCTCAATTTCCCAGGAAAGGGGTTACAGTCAAAGCTTTTGCACTTATGGAGCTGAAAAAAAGAAGCTACCCAAGTGTTAAGACAAGAAGAGGTTCAGTGCTCTGGGTGGAGATAAAAATTCAACCCAAGTAGGTTTAAATGCTAAAAGAATTTATGAGCTCGTGTCACTGAAAAGTCCAGTGGCAAGATGGCTGCGAGGTGGCTCACTTTGACCTACAGGGTGGAGAAGGCCCCAGGGCTCTGAATCTATTTCCTTGCCCTTCTGGAGCCTGAGCTTTTCCCCCAGCCTGGGTGCTGTCACCATCATCATCACCCGGATTTAGTGAGCATTTACTATGATCCAGGCATCATTCTAAGTGTTCAGCATCTATGAACACATTTCATCTTCCCAATAACCCGCTGTGATAGGCACCAGAACCTCACCCTGAACCTTAGTGAGGAGACTAAGGAGCAGCCCCCATGGAGGAAGTGGCTGTGGTTGTGCTAGATCTGAGGACTGTCCGGGAGCCTGCACCCAGCAGCTCGTCCATGTTTCACATTGGAATTCCATCCTTCAGAGAAAGCCAGCTATGTCCCAGCAATCTCAGAAAAAGATGTACTCTAATTTTACCAGCTTGCATCACATAAGCACCTGTGTTAGTCAGAGTTCCAGAGAGAAAGAACCAATAGGATGTGCACTGGGGTTGTGGAGAAGTAACAACGGGGTGGGGTGGGGCGGGGTGTTGGACAGGACTGGAAACAGAAGCCAGCAGGTCTAGGGCCCCAGGGAGGGACCTGGAGCCACGTGAGGAAGCTCAGAGGTGCTGCAGGGTACCTACGGGCCCGATCATTGAGCTATGTAATATACTTTGATGTTTGGAGAATTAAAGAAAAATAAAAACTGTTGCTTTTCTGATATAAATACAGAAAATAAAGAACTACAAAAGTCTGGATCCTTGGGATAAACGGAGTGGTTAGGTATGGACGCTTCTCTGCAGAAATATATCTTCCTTGTGGAGTAGGTTGATCTATATATTAGTTCTATCACTTCAGTTCAGTTGCTCAGTTGTGTCNGATCAAGTGTCTTTTAATTTCATGGCTGCACTCACCATCTGCAGTTATTTGGGAGCCCCCCCAAATAAAGTCTGTCACCATTTCCACTATTTCCCCATCTGTTTGCCATGAAGTGATGGGACTGGATGCCACGATCTTAGTTTTCTGAATGCTGAGTTTTATATCCTGGAATTACTAGCTTGATGTTTAAGTAAAGTATAAATGAGAATATTATTATTTATCTTATAGATTATCATAAAGATAAGAGATAAAGAATTTGGAGGTCCCTAGACAGATAGAGTCTGGCAGGCTACAGTCCATGGGGTCGCAAAAGAATCGGACACGACTTACTGACAAAGCAAGGCGGAAGGGCTTGCCACTTCTCACTGAGCCTCCGCTCTTTGCTGGTAGCGCCTTCCGACGAATGTGCTGTTCTGAGCTACGTCCACTAGAGGGCAGCAGGGGAACGGGACTGGAGACTAAACACAACCGGAGATCAGAGCTACTTCCTTATGTTCACTGTCAATAACGTTTACAGTTGATTAAAAGTCAGTTCAAGATTGATAAGGCTAGACATCTTAACCGCCACTGCTCAACTCATTTTCCCTTTCATGTGCATGATGCTTTTTCCATAATTTATCAAATCCATTCCAGTACGGTTCCCTTAAGGCAAAGAGTATGATTTTCTGTTGTGGAAAAGAAAATCAGTTACTTCTTAAACTTTCCAACTTTCTTTTTTTTTTTCCCCTTTTATTTTTATTAGTTGGAGGCTAATTACTTTACAATATTGTAGTGGTTTTTGCCATACACTGACATGAATCAGCCATGGATTTACATGTGTTCCCCATCCTGAACCCCCCTCCCACCTCCCTCCCCATCCCATCCCTCTGGGTCATCCCAGTGCACCAGCCCTGAGCACTTGTCTCATGCATCCAACCTGGGCTGGTGATCTGTTTCACCCTTGATAATATACATGTTTCAATGCTGTTCTCTTGAAACATCCCACCCTCGCCTTCTCCCAGAGTCCACAAGTCTGTTCTATACATCTGAGTCTCTTTTTCTGTTTTGCATATAGGGTTATCGTTACCATCTTTCTAAATTCCATATATATGTGTTAGTATACTGTAATGGTCTTTATCTTTCTGGCTTACTTCGCTCTGTATAATGGGCTCCAGTTTCATCCATCTCATTAGAACTGATTCAAATGAATTCTTTTTAATGGCTGAGTAATATTCCATGGTGTATATGTACCACAGCTTCCTCATCCATTCGTCTGCTGATGGGCATCTAGGTTGCTTCCATGTCCTGGCTATTATAAACAGTGCTGCGATGAACATTGGGGTGCACGTGTCTCTTTCAGATCTGGTTTCCTCGGTGTGTATGCCCAGAAGTGGGATTGCTGGGTCATATGGCAGTTCTATTTCCAGCTTTTTAAGAAATCTCCACACTGTTTTCCATAGTGGCTGTACTAATTTGCATTCCCACCAACAGTGTAAGAGGGTTCCCTTTTCTCCACACCCTCTCCAGCATTTATTGCTTGTAGACTTTTGGATAGCAGCCATCCTGACTGGCATGTAATGGTACCTCATTGTGGTTTTCTAACTTCTTATAGCACCTGTGAGTTATTGGGTATGCACGAGAATAACCCACTGAGCCTGGTAATTCTCAACAGGAAGAAATTAAAGTAGTTACCTATTTCAAACAGACCAACTGCAGAAGGAACTGGAAACATCCCAGGAGGGTGAGAGGCGGGGCCAGGAGGAAGGAGACCTCCCCTTGGATGCCTCCTCTTTCAGAAAAAGGGGAAATCAAAATTCAGAAAGGTAGGACTATTTGGTGTCGTTTACTAAGTCAGAGGGCAGAAAGATTTTTCCATCGGAGCAAACAGCAGTGACATTGGTTCCCTCCCTCCCAGGTCACGTGCTTTCCGACACCATCCTGGCTCGGAT